ATGGTTGTGAGCCACCATGTGGTTACTGGGAATTGAACTCAGGACCTTTAGAAGAGCAGTCAGGGATCTTTATACCTCTGAGCCATCTCTCCAGCCTAAGTATATCTTAATAACAAGGCAATTTAATAGGTCATTTGGAAGATGAAAAAAATCAGATCTAAAGTTTTGGTTTTCTTTTTTTTGGTGGGGGAAATGCATGGTGCGTGTGTAAGCTTCCGGTCTCTTCAGTATAAAGCAAGGTGATGAGAAAGCCACCCTCCATCCCCTCTCAGGAGCTCACATCCAGTGAGTTAAACAGGTGCTGCTGCGTAACAAACATTCAGTACTGGGGAGCAATCTTAATCTCACCTCAATTACACCTAGGTTCAAATTACTTCTGTCATTAGGGAGATGCATGGCTTAGGGCAAGCTGCCAAAACTTACTTTAAAAAATTATTGTTTTGGCCAGGCAGTGGTGACACATGCCTTTAATCCCAGCACTTGGGAGGCATAGGCAGGCGGGCCTGTCTCGAAAAGCAAAAACAAACAAACAAAAAAAAACCAACAACAAAAAATTGTTTTATTCATTGTGTGTGCAGGCACACGTGCTACGAAGTACATGTGGAAGTTTCAGGACAATCCTCAGTCGTTGATTCTCTCCTGCCAGCTTGTGGGATGCAGGGATTAAACCCGTATCACCAGGTCTGTGCACAAGTGCCTCTGCCTGCTGAACCCCCTCAACAGCGACTGCTAAAGTTTCCTGAGCTATGGTTTCCTTATCTCACATTGGCACCTAGCAAAGCTGTTGTGAGGTACAATGAGGTCACCACTCAGAAGAGCCTGGCATGAATTTAGTCAGGAAAGTGATACAAAGTGGCTACCCCTTCTCAGACCAACTGGAGGAGCCAATCATGGCTTTCCTGTCTTTGGGGACAGCATACAGAGACAGAGAGCAGCCGGCTCTTACCTTCTTGCCCTCAATAACCATATAGATGCATCCTGCCACTGTCAAGGCAATCATTAAATAGCTGACCTTCACCCGGATCTTGTTCTTTGCAGCGTCAAGCATCTCAAACCTAGTGATGGAACAAGAAAACATGATTAACCTTTTTCTTTCTGAACCTGCAGCAGGATGAAATGTTCTGGGCATCACAAGTTAAAAGTTCAGTGATGTTTGTAAACACAAAGCAGCTAGGACCTAGGGACCTCATAGCACTTTGGGGGATTGTGGGTCAAGTTCACAAGTCTTTGGTTTTTGTTTTTGGAGACAAGGTCTTTCTTACTTTATAGCCCAGGCTGGCCTGGAACTCATTCTTCTCTCAAAAAGTCCTGTTATAAGCTCAAGTTATAACAAAAATATAGTTCAGAAAGAAAACAAACATGGAAGAGTTAATATTCTTTGTGTAATCTAGTTGTCTCCCCCATTTTAAACTTTATGCACATGGGTGCTTTGCCTGAATGTGTGTCTACGCACTATGTGCAGTGCCTGAGTCAGGGGCCAGAAGAGGATTTGGATCTCCTATGATACAGAAGGTTATAAGTCACATGTTGGTTCTGGGAACTGAACCTCCATTCTCTGGAAGGACAGCCAGTGCCCTTAACTACTGGAGCCATCTCTGCAGCCTGATTACTCTGATTTTTGATTGGGGGAGGGAGGACTAGAAACTATGTTATTAATTCAAAGTCTTTCCATTTTTATCAACTCATCTAAAAGTGCATTTCATAACAAAACGTATGCTTGCTGGGAATAGTTCAGGCCTGTAACCTAGGCAGAGGAAGGAGGATCATTGTAAATTCAAGGCCAATCTGTTCCACATAGCAAGTTCCAAGACAGCCAGGGCTATGGAGAGAAACTTTTGTCGAAAAACAAACCTTAGGATTTATTTCAAACAATGCAAGCATATCTGAGTATTTTTCCAGCCTCTAATCTAGTGTTTTTCTCTGTCTTAAATCAGAAACAGATTTGAGGTTGCCTGAGCCAGGGAAATAATCCCTTAAACAATGGTCCCTTAAATGTTAATCTTGTCATGAAGGTTTTGCTAAAATTGAGCAACAGTGGAGTGGAGCCTATGCTTTTTGGCAAGTACCCAGAATGTAGCCTATCTAACCTTTCCACTGACTGATGACCTACATGCCTTGACAGGGGCATAACGTGCAAGAGTCTAAACAGAAGGCTGGGTATGCAAGAAGGACCAGTAGGTAAAGGTGCTTGCAGCCAAGCTCAGTGGCCTGAATTCAATTTTTAGGGTCTATATGGTAGAGACACTTCCGTAAGCGGTTTCATTTCTACACAGATGCTGTGTCACAAGCACCATCCCAAGCCACTAAATGAATAAATGTAATAAGATTAAATGAGAGAAGGCTATTATCTTTGTGATTCCGTAGGAAGGCAGTGGGTTATGGTTCTATTGTGGTACCTAGAAGGGCAAGACAGGACACATGGAGTCCAAGTGGGTCTCCCCAGTAGGTGTGCACAGGAAGTGGCTATTTCTAAATAATGGGATTGGACACCAGGTGGTGGTGGTGCACGCCTTTAATCACAGAACTCAGGAGGCAGAGGCAGGCGATCTCTGTGAGTCCCAGGACAGCCAGGGTTGTTACACAGAAAAACCCTGTCTCAGAAAAATAAATAAATAAAAGGGATTGGAATGCTTTCTATTCCCCCCCCCAATATTTAGCATATCTAATATTGAATATAAGCTGATGGTGGAGGGCCTTCTGTATGCTGTGAATATATATTTCTCTTATTGGTTGATGAAAAAAGCTGTTTCGGGCAATGGGAAGGCAGGATTTAGCCAGGAGGAAAATCCAAACAGGGATAGAGAAAGGCAATAGGCAGAGAAAAGGAGACACCATGTATCTGCTTAGGGAGCAAGAGGCTCGGGAATCACCAGTAAGCTAAAATCATGTGGAGAAACACAGATTAATAGTTATGGGTTAATAATTAAGAGAGAGTTAGCCAGAAACCTGAGCCATCAGCCAAATGGTTTATAATTACTATAGGCCTCTGTGTGTTTGAGACTAAACGGCTGCAGGACCTGGAGGGATAGAAACTTCCATCTACAATAAGCAAGAGCAATGGCTTTCAAAGGCTGCCATGGAGGAGGTCACATATACAGTGTGATGTAAGAACTGGGACTTGGAAAGCAGATTGTACGACGAGCTCTCCAGTCCAGGCACTGAAACTGGGGCCATAGGATGGTAGGAACCAGGAACAGCTTCGAAAGATAGTGAACTGCTTAACTGCTTAACTAAAATCATCTGAGAACTCACTAGCCATAAAAACAATCCAAACCAACCAAACAAACAAACAAAAAACAAAAAACCCAAACCATTTTAACTTGTGTGGTGGCTGCAAGGAGAATGTTTTCCCTTAGTCTAGGGCATTTGAATACTTGGTTGACCTGGACCAGCAGGCTGATTTTCAATGATAGGTTCCTAAGGGGAAGGGTGGTGATAAGAAAATAAAGAAACCAGAAAAGTAGGGACAAGGAGATCTTACAGAAGCTGATGCCTTATGCCAAGGCAAGTTTATTAAGAAGTACAGCATACTATAGACAGTTTGTAGTGCGTGATGGTGGTGGTGGGGATTGGGGATGGGACAGAGTCAGCAGAAAGCTGTCACACAATAGGATGAAGTCAGAGGACGCTAATCAAGAAAAATTATACAAAAAGGAACACGGGATGGCTCAAATGTATCATAGACCAAGCATACAGTGGTCTTGGGACTGATAATTCCAGTTTCTTCAGGCCCAAAGCCAGGTTCCCAGGAACCTGAAACTGTAAGTCCTTTGAGGCCCTGATCCTGGGCCTGAACTAGACCTTGCCATGCTGCCCCTGGGCAAGGACAAAAAACTAGCCTTCTTTCTGTCCTTTCTTCAGGGCCTCTAAGAAAGCTTTGGATCAGCCTGGCTCCCAGTGGCACTGTTTGGGTAGGATTAGGGAGTGTGGCCTGTTGGAGGAAGTGTGAAACTGTTGAGCAGGCTTTGAGGTCTCAAAAGCCACATGCCTTTCCCACCTTTCCCAGTTCACCCTCTCTATTTCCTGCTTACAGTTTGAGATGTGACCTCTCAGCTCACAGCTCCTGTCTCATGTCTGCTGCCTGCTGTCCTCACCATTATGGATCCTAACCCTCTGGAACTGCAAGCCCAGAGCAAACTCTTTATTCTGTAAGTTGTTGCCTTGGTCATGGTGTTTTATTACAGCAATAGAAAAGTAACTAATACAACAAGATTTTATGTGCACGGGTGTCTCCAACTGAAGTCTTGTGATCCTCCCGTAGTGGCATACCATTAGGAGACCATTTATAAAGGAAAATACATTTCAACATGGCCATGACAGTTGCTAACCATTTCAAAAGAAGCAAGGTTAGTTTAAAAAAAAGCAAAATAAAAACCATGAAGTTGGGAGGGAAATGTAGAAATTGGAGGGAAGGGCACACATCAGTGGCTGAATTAAGTCAAAACACATTATATGTATGTGTGAGTTCCTCGGATAACAATAATAATAAAAGGCAAGAGAAGCAGGACCTGCTCACAACCACCAGCATAGACAATCAGTTGCCCAAGCCTAGGGAAGAACTTTCCAGAGTGACTCACCAGGTAGTACTTTGGGTCTGAGAGATCTAGAACCAATGACAAGGGAGACAAGGTGTGCCACAGCAAACTCCGAACAGCAGAAATCACAGCCCATCCCCTCCAGGTAGAGATCATCTTGGTTTTGATGGGACATTATCAAGAAACCAGGGCAAAAGCAAGAACAGGGTGTCCCCGCTATTTCCTGTAAACTCCCATTTCTCAGAAGAGGGCACTGTGACTAGGGTTAAGGAGCACTAAGGCTTTCCTGCTGAGATAATTCTGGGGGTGACCAGGAAGAGCAGCAGGGCTCTATGGGCAGAAGCAGATGCGTCCTTTCTACCTGGAAAAGATGTGCTGCTTGAACCCAGAGCCAGAAGGCCCAGGAATAGTTTCTTGCTGACAGGGAACTTGCATAACATCCCTTACTCTGAGGAGGAGGATGCCCACAGGGGAGAGAGTTTCACTTCTGGTCAGTCAGGGTCCTTAGCACAAGACTGAACACTGCTTCCACCTGAGATAGATTTGACCCCAGGGGACATTTGACAATGCCTGGGGTCACTCTTGGAGAGAGTACTGCTGGCATCTAGAGGGCAGACGTCAGGGATGTTGGTAACATCCTTCAGTACACACGGCAGTTCACAAAACCCAAAACATTCCAGTCCAAAGTGTCAACAGTGCTAGCTAAGGCTGTAAAACCCTGGCTTAGAGGAACCTGCACATATTACTTAGAAATTCTGAAACAGTCTAGATTCCAGCTGAGGCTTAAGGAGGCAGGTGAGGAAGAAACCCCTTCCTGGTTACCTGGGATATCGGAGGTGAGCAGTGTATGAAAAGGGAGAGGCTTATGGAGGCCGAACATCCTGCTGAGAGGGTGGGGACACTTAGCTCGAAGGAAGCCAAAGAGCTGAAGATGAGGAGGACCAGGATCTCTGAGGAGCTCCCATGAGATCTCACCTCTTTTTAGGGCTGTGGGATTCTGGGGGGGGGGGTGGCAGGCAGTTTCAGGACAGGGGTTGTCTGGCTGTCCTGGAACTCATTCTGTAGTCCAAGATGCCTTGAACTCAGAGAGATCTGCCTGCCTCTGGCTCCTGAGTTCTGGGACTAACGGTGTGCACCACCACTGCCCGGCTGAGGCCTGAGACCTCACCTCTTAAAGTTCCTGGGGCGAGGATGTGTAACTAAACATCAGCTGGCTTCAGAAGCGAACAGGTCCATCAGTCGCTAGGTAACACCCTAACAGCTTTCCAACACTGACTGTTCTGGGTAATTGCCAAACATGAGAAAACATGTAGAGAATGAAGAGTGTTTCTAAATCTGGTCAAAAGGTTTTAAACAGAGTTCAAATGCACTGGTCCCCTTCAGAGACCAGTGAGAAACTCGGGCTGAGTACAACCCTCCCAGCACTCACGAGATCGTCTCCGGGATTTCTTCCTCCTTCTTGAAGCGCCCTGACCACAATAGTATCTTCTTCTCGAAGTCTGTGGGTTTGTGAAGCGGCACTCTGTGTCTGTAAGATTCTGTAGGGAAAACCAGGTAACAGTCTTGCTTGAGATTTTAATGTTTAAATCAAGCAAGCAACAGAAAAAAAAAATGCTGTTTGTGTCCTTTAGTTATTCAGTTAATGGAAACACCAGGAGACTTCAGGCTGATCCGGAGCTTCACGTGATGTGAATAGGAGTGGGCAGAATGGCTTCTTTCTTTCTTTTTTTAAAAAGATTTATTTATTTTATGCATGCAAGTGCTTTATCTGCATGCACACCTGCACACCAGAAGAGGGCACCAGATCTCATAACAGATGGTTGTGAGCCACCATGTGGTTGCTGGGAATTGAACTCAGGGCCTTTGGAAGA